GTAAAAGCAACTCACCTGGCTCACAGATTATTTTATATGTCCTTACATGGAAAAATGAAAACGTTTGCCCTGTTTCTGTCGTGAAGCTGGTCTGGAGAGGTCTGCAGCGATGCTGCTGAGCTGAGCGCTGCTGGAAGTAGAGCTCCTTCACAACGGTCTCCGAGGACAAACACGACAGACGCTCCACCTCAGGCTCAGAGAGGTGTGTCTGCAGAGACGCAGTCCGGTTCACAGCACACCGACTTCATGCAGCAACGGCTCCGTTGTTCTGCAGTGATGACATGAAGTGTAAGAAACTAAAGATCTGTTATTAGGTTTTAGCCCAAAATAAAAAAATAATAATTTTAAAAGATACAACGATGTAAAAAGATAAAATATTGTGTCTGATTTCATGCGACATGTGATCTGTGCTGTCTGCTAACATCAAATTTGAGCTCAATCTGTAAAAGTGTAGTTATTTGTGTGTTGCCTAAGTGGACAATCCTAAATTAGATTGACACCCAAAGTTAATCATTTGTAGACGGACTTCTCATGATTACTGTTGTAGACCTCTCCCTTTATGACCTCTCACTTATCATTGCTGCCAAGAACGGTTCTTTCTAAAAGTCATCTTGTTCAGAGGGACTCTTGATTATAAAATTAAATATTAAAACAGCATGGGATAATTTTTCATTGTTATGCTGATGATACCATGAAACCCAATGAATCCAATCAGAAACTTAAAAGACATAAAAACCTGGATGACCCTAAATGTTCTGCTTTTAAACTCAGACAAGACTGAGGTTTTAGTTTTTGGACCTGAGCATCTTAGAAACAAATTTTTCAGTCTTTCTCCCTCCTTAGATGTCATTAATCTGTCCTCCAGCTCTAAAGTTAAAAATCTTGGTGTTATTTTTGATCAGGACATGTCTTTTATCTCCCACATTAAAACATTACCAGAACCGCCTTCTTCCACCTGCGTAATATCACTAACACTAGAAAGTTCCTGGAGAAACTTTGACGGGGACTGCCAGGCTGTGGCTGATTTCAATTCTTGATTTGATAGTAAAAGGTGTTTGTGTTCGCTCTCAGCTACCACTATACCAAATTTCAGCTGAATAGCCCTAAAACTGGCTGAGTTAGTCAATTTTGTGTTTGCTGAGGTAGCCGTGGCAGCCATCTTGGATCAAAATGGCTCCAAAACGTAATCGTTCTAGACGTTTATCTGATGATTACGTTCTGTGAGTTTCAAACAACTCCAACAGTCAGTTTCTGTTTCCATCCAGGACCTGTTTGTTCACTCCGTCATGTGACTTGACTCCGTAGTGACTGTGAGGAGCACTGTCTCACTCATTACCTATGAAGAATTTAGGCGTCTTTGTTAGCAAAATACATCACCATGGTAACTCCGATTGCCAATAAAAGTAATTGTACACATCACGGGGCCGAGCTGGTCATTTTGAAATAACATTTGTGCGGGTACACATTGTGGCTCGGGCCGCATCAAAGATGAGAGAAAAGTAAGTTAACCGACACTCAGGAGAGAAGAATCAAGACTGCCCATTTATTATGAAATTATTACTAATAATAAATATTAATATTAGTAATTCACAATATTTATAATTAATACTGATTATTAATAATATTCATATTGATATTTTATTAATATTAATATATTCATATTGATATTTTATTAATATTAATTATTATTAATTATTAACATTCATATTTAATGTTGTTATTTTTATTACTAAGCAAAATAGCAAAATATGTTGCCATGGTAACTGCGAATGCCAATAAAAGTAACAGCACACTTCCCGGAGCCGGTCGTTTTGATATAACTTTTGTGGGGGTCCACGTTGCGGTTCGGGCCGCATTAAAGTTGAAAAAGAGTCGTTTATCAGGCGTAGAATAATAAGTGAGCGGCCACCAACTAGTTCCTGGAGTTGGTGGAATATTGCGTCTTTGTTAAAACTGATGCAGAAAAACTGGTCCACGCATTTGTCACGTTTAGACTGGACTATTGCACTGGTTTATTATCTGGGTGTCCAAATACTTCTTTAAAAAGCCTTCAGCTGATCCAAAATGCTGCTGCCAGAGTCTTAACTGGAGTTACTGGGAGAGATCATATCTCTCCAGTTTTAGCTTCTCTCCATTGGCTCCCTGTCAAATCCAGAATTGAATTCAAAATCTTAATTCTTCTAATCTACAAAGCTCTCAACAACCTAGCTCCATCTTATATTACAGATCTTTTGTTCCATATTTTCCTAACAGAGCACTTCACTCTCAGACTGCAGGTTTACTTGTGGTTCCTAGAGTTTCCAAAAGCAGAATGGGAGGAAGATCTTTCAGTTCTCAGGCTCCTCTCTTGTGGAACCAACTTCCAGTTTCTGTCCGTGAGACTGACACATTGTCCAGTTTTAAGACTGGGATTAAGACTTTCCTTTTTGGCTTGGGTTTCCTGAGCTGTCCTTTATTTCTGCTGCTATAGGCTCAGACTGCTGGAGGACAAACTGACCATATTTCCTCTCTCTGCTGCTTCTTTACTTGCTCTACTCGACCTGTTTGTATTTGTAATTATTTCTATCTTAATGTGTGTTTTTTATCTTTCCTCCTATAGAAAGTTCACCTGGACCTGTCATTCTGTGTTTGTCTGTTTCTACTTCCTGTCCTCTCAAACCCAGCTGGTCGAAGCAGATGAGCTGAGCCTGGTTCTGCTGGAGGTTTCTTCCTGTTAAAGTGAGTTTTTCTTTCCACGGTCTCCTTCGTGCTTGCTCAGGATGAGAGACTGTGACTAAGTGAAGATTCAACACAATCTGCTGCTTCCTTAGAGAACTTTCACTAATTCGCTTTTTATGTACGTGAATGTTTTTGTACAGTGCCCCGAGACAACTTTGGGACTTGGAGCTACAGAAATAAACTGAATTGATCGTTTTTAAACATGTTCTTCCAAGGCTACACTCATAGACATCTTATCAGTATGAAGAAAATGTGATAATTCCTACAACACTCATAAAAAACATGATTAATCCAGAAATGGTGCATCATTTGAAGGTTTCTATGTGTAACCCACTTCAAGGTATTACACGTCACGTCTAGGTTTGTAGGAGCTGTGATGTAGTGCAAGAACCAACCACACAGGTAATTATGATTTTTTTTGTGTGTGCATTTTTAGTTACAGTACTTAGAATTTACAAAAGAAAATCCAAATGTTTACCTGGGCCCTATTTAACTAAAGCTACAAAATGTCTCTAGGAAGATGCTCCAAATTCACTCTGTGTTCAAAAATGGTAAAAAATCAACGAGGTTCCTTCAAGTGAGCTTCTTGAGGTAAACTCACCGTGGTCAGTCAGAAGACAATCATACCACAGACAGACTGGGTTCCACCTCATGGGGTCAAACTGGGAGGCTCGCCATCAAAGAACCACACATGAGCCTTCTGGGACATGAGGGACCAGTTCTCTCCAACTCATCCAAGAAGAAAAGACCTGACCTGCATTTACAACAGGTTACAGTCCAAGTTCTCCTATCATAGTGATCAGGTTCAATACGCTACCAATCAAAATGTTGTACAACAACAACACATTTCTCAATTAGAAAAAATAACATTAAAGTTAACTGTAGTTACTTTATAGTTTCACTCATCTTTATCACAGTGTTAGAATAATTCACTCTAACCACTTTTTAAACATACAGAGAAATGTGATTTGGTCACATTAACGGATAACAAATTACACATTAACCTGTAAGGTAAAATGCATAACATTCCTTTCAAAGATGTAACATCGCTGTTTTGTTATCTTTTTAACAAATGCTGTTTCTTAGATTTTACCCCAAACAACAGTACTTTTTACTGTCTTTTACACATTAACACAAAGTTCCACCAGTTACTTTAAATTTAATCACTACTAAATTATTTTAGTGACAAAGTGTGCTTTAAACAGATTTTTCTACTCAATTAATTAAATAAACCGCAACATAAATTACTTGTAAATAACTGAAAATGTGCAAAAACAACTTATTCCAATTAGCATGTAGCAACAGCGGAGCTAACTTACCGAGGAACGGATGATTTATTTCATTAACTCGTTTCCTCTGCGCTCATCCAAACTCTGAACAACAGTTTTACAAAGTTTGCATCATAAACTGACTCGCACACAACTTTAAGCACGGTAAAATACTTTTTTAAATACATTTGTTCTGTCTTTCGAGCTCCGTAAACTCAGATATCAAGCTAGTTTTTTCATGCTTCACACTTCCTGTCTAGCCAAACAGACTTCCTGTTTTCAAAATAAAACACAATGCAAAGAATATCAAAGACAAAATTATATATTTTAACCCTTACCAGGTGGGCTACGTATGGTTTCATAGGTGCATCATTTGGGTCATTGTATCTAAACAAAATTGAAGTTCTCAAATTGTTCTGTTTTACCTTATGATTCGGCTCTCTTGTAAATAAGTCACGGCTCACTGGGACCAACCCGTATAAATAAAGGTTGAATGAATGAGCTCTTTGACATTATTACTTCTGTAGTGGAAGATTTTGTATCCTGATGACCAAAGCCTCTGGACCATGTGAGTTTTAAGCATTTTGAAAGTTAAAAGTGTTTCCTGCAAGTTTTACTGTAAAACCATTCATGGTTCTCAGCTGTTTTTGAGGATTGTAAAGAAAAAGATACTTAGTAAAGCGTAGTGGGTTTGGTGTTTAAAATGAACCGACATGACAGTTTTGTGAGTTTTTGTTAAATGTAGTGACATTAACATAAAGCAAGTTTAGCTATTTGATTAAAGCATTCAAAAAATCTGATAGATTATTCATAGGTGGTGGAAGACAATCTTCCAGGGAATATTCAATAGTTGGCAATCAATCCCCCCCACTATCATACTCAAGTCTGTGTAATCAAATACAGCAAAGATCCAACAGGACGCGGGTTCATCTTCATTAGTACAGCCCTGCAGTGTGCCGACATGCTCCATGTTCAACTACAGTCTACTGAAAAATTAAAACAGCAAACTCCACATAAGTTTCACGGCTGTGTAATTTCATTTATATTGAAATAAGTCTTTCTACAAGTGACATGATGGGATCTAATACAAAGTAAAAATGAAAAGATTTAGGAAAACTTGCACTGATAATTTAACACATTAGAATCAACAATAAATACTTGCAACAAAAGTATCATTTTGGGTTATTGGTGTCCAAAATCTAAAACACCTTTGGAGTGACATTGTGGAGTTCTTTATCCTTGAAGAGACAAAAATCCTAAAAAGCAAAGATAAAAACAGCATCAATCAACAGTTCCAAACAATGTGGCGTATTTAGTGATGAACGAAATTCACAGACTTTGAAAAGGTACCGGTACATTCAACGGCATTTCACTTTGTCAGCAAGCAAAGCTCGACGCTGCACACAAAACAAAAGTATCGCTGCTTCTTTATGCAGAACACGGTTCTAATACGAGTCTACCTTTACCGGTAGCTGTGAGGGTTCTTCTACACGTCACAAACACACGGTGGCATTCTCTGGATGCACACAGAACCAAAGATTTCCAGAAGTCTGAACACAGTTAAATTTAAGTCTGAATGTTTTTAACGGCTTGTATGAAAGATGCTCATTAAATTAAATGAACCCATTTCAGTCTCCAGATGTTCAGTTTGGTGTCTGCGAGAAACAACAAAATCTGATTTACTTGTTCAAGCGATCGTTCTAAAGCTAAATCAGCTGTTACAGAAAATCTCATTCGAAAACAGGTAATGCAGTTCAGCACACACTTAGATTTTACACCTAATCTGTAAACTCAGAACCACAATGGAAAAGAACTTTATTTAAATCCCAAAATGCATAAAAATCATTTTAAAAAAAGGTGACTTGTCCGTTCAGATTTGTCCAGGTTTTACGGTAATAGTTTTAAGCTGTAGTATGTGAGGAACGCTGCGGCCGAGAGAGCATCTTGAAGAGGCTAAATGTTTCCAAAATGACGCTCTGCGATGTGTGGGAGTTCAACCACTGGAAATGGCATCTCGTGTTGCTGAGCTGTAGTCTCCAGCAGGTCCAGTGTTCCAGCACCTGGATCGGTGTCTGCCGTCTGTGTGGAGGTGCTTTTCTTCTGCCAGCATTTAGGAGCTCACCAGAACATAGATCATCCTGTGGGACAGAGCGAACAGTCAGGCAGGGAAGAAGCATCTGTAACATGAACTCAGAATAAATTGCATGAACTTGCACCCAGTATTTGTATTAAAGTGTCCCGAAAAGCCACATCTGCACACAGTGGGTTGCAAAAGTATTCATCGCTTTTACTCTTTTTATGAGTCCAGCCACCCTGTGCAAAAAATTTGCTTGAATTCTGGATTTGCAGTTTTGTTTGGAAGACTACAGAGTTCGTGACCATAGGTGAAGGTAGGACCATCCACTGACAGGTCCACGGAGCCAACCCACCTACACCAGTAGAGCTGCACTACCCAAAGCTAACCTACTAGAAACTGTATGTTTGAAATGCATTTTGTGACAAGATACCAACACTTCTGCCAAAAACAAAAATACAAAACTGAGCAATTTGGTTGCATCACTGTTTAAACGAAAAATAATATCCCAAAAGAAAAGATAAAGTATGAAACATTTATGTACCCGTAAAGATAGTAGAAAAACGACAGCAGGTAGAAAGCCAGTTTGCACCAGCCTTCTTTTTGACAGTAGGCCAGGATGTCAGCGTTCATGATGGTTGTCGGGTCGTAGAGTCCAGGACAGCTCATCACAGGTCTGCTCATATACCTGTAGCACAAGGTGTCCACACGTTTAAAAGGTTTTATTTGAGTTCCACAAGCAGCGGGGCTGTGGTTGGGTCTGTTACAAACCTCCAGACATGATACGCCAGCAGTGGTAAGTTCAGGAAGAGGGTGAGCCACTCGGCCGCACACAAGAACATCACGCAGAAGAAGACATGAATGAGGTACTCAGGCAGCACCAACTGAAAGAAAACAAAAGTAAAGAAATAAATAAAATCCTTCCAATGTCTTTTAAGTTTACAGTTCTCAGTTTTTATTTTCTTGGGTCATTTTAGATAATTTGCGTAGACAAAGCCCTAACAGTCTGCGCCATACACTTGATCGTCAAGTGAGGGAGATGTAACGGTCAACATCAACAGCTCCAAATGTTTTACCAAGGAGCAGGAAGTGTGGGTTATTCACCATTTATCTGATGTAGTAACATACTTTATCATTTCAATAAACTATTATCTCATTCACAAGATGTATGTTCTGACCACCTCGGTTCATTCTGAAGACACACAGAGGTGGCAAGGAGGTCAGACAGCCTACCTCTGGTCTCCAAGTGAGACAGCACCAGGCCTGGAACTGTAGGCGACTCAAACTGATTTGAATAATGTGACGAAGTGATGAAGTTCACTTTCGACGACCACCCAGCCGCTGGACTTAACTTTCCATGTTTCCCCTCTCCCTGCTTTTCAATTGCTCAAACAAGCTTTGTGTTTATAACCCTTTACATACGTTTGCATTTGTTAAAAAAAAAAAAAAAAAAAAAGGGGGCAAACTGGGTGACCCCAAGAGCCATGAACCCACCATAAAATGTTGCAGCTTTGCATTTAGCAAACATCTCGAACAGCACAAAGACAATCGCTACATCAGGTTCGTTCACCGTTTTCAGAAGTAAAAACGCCTGCCGCACATATAGCGTGTTTTTGTGTCAACGTTTCAGCAATGAGGGTCGTCGTGACAGTAGTGTTGATGCAGCAGCCAGTCTAAGGTATCGACAGGTCAAACTCCATGTTCAGGGCTTTTTTTGGGGGGTGGGGTTGTTGCAGATGGAGACACCACATGGAAGCCATGCATTCAAAGAGCAGCAAGCAGAAACAAACTCACAGCTCATACATGAGCAGGCGAGGGGTGTGTGGGAAAAGGGCGGTGCAGGAAGGGCTGCATCGTGCTCAAATCTTGCACTGTGCTGCCAAATCCTAAACAGCTGATCAGAACCCAAAAGGTCGACCTGCAAAAGTAAAACCTGCAGCACATTGTGGATGAAAGGTAGATGAATCCTCACTGTGGAGTTCACAAACCAATCTGTGTTTTCAAATACTGCTGAGCTGGACAGAGCCGGGGTTCTGCTGCCATCTGTTCAGAACCACAGGAGGTGTAGCGGAGCCAACACTTAGCTCATTCTGCTAAATGTGGACTCAAACTGCAGCATCTTCCTCAAGCAGAAACAAAAATATAGGTCCAAAATTCACCCCCGAACAATTTATTTAAAGCTCTGAAAGCTTTCAGATTAACTTAATCCTGCAAACGAGCAGGACACCTTTATCTCAACCTGAAGATAAATAGGAGTTTGGGTTTATGGAGAATTCATTGTACCAGTAATTTTAACACCAAATGGAAACAATAGGAAAAACTGCTGATCGATCTCATGCATGCTTTGAGCATTTGCGAGTCTTTTCAGTTAACAGCTACACCTCAGCACCAACCAGAGCAACCAAACCGATGTTTTTTAGCGCTACGAAACATTCATTCAACAAAACTACTGTTGACCTACAAACTTGGCAAAGAAAACTAAAGATAAAACAAATACGTTTAAATTTACATCAAAATCATTACTAAACTAAACGGATAAAGTTGAGTAAAAAAGATGGTTTAATCCCAAACCAGACCGACCTCAGATTAGTTAACTGAAAAGACATTAGCAAACACTTCACTGTGCAAAACAACAAGGCTGAGTTGACACGTCAGTGAGTATTTTAGAGATTGGTACAAACCTTTAGGGCAATTTTGACTCTCTTAATCTTTTTGACCCTGTCAATTGTCTTTTTTTTTTTCGCCGTTAAAAAGCGCAAAAGAAGCAGATAGGGAAAAACAAAACAAGGCGTTAGAGTCTGTCAGCTGACACCGATCCCTGCAGCCTATTTAGCATAACAGTGCAGAAAAATGATAGAGAAAAATGGATAGGTGCATAAAGTTATACTAAGATCTTTCAACAGAGCACAACGTGTGCATGCAGTCAGATATACGAGGAGGTGTATGACGAGAAGATGGGAGTGGCACTTACCGGATTCAAAGTGTTACACTGATCTATGGGGTTCTTGTAGTCCGTCTTCAGCTCATCAAACGCAATTATCTGCAGGAGCAAAAAGATCTGTTCAAATACGACTTCTATTTTATCGTAGACCAATTTACAACAAGCGGCACGCCGATGTCCTCCGACTGACGGATTTGAACAGTGAATGTTTGTAGTTTTAGAGACGAGTGTTGTTCTGGACTAATTTGAAGAGGGAATTCAAGTAAACCTTAATGTTTTTTGTGCAAGATATTCAAGTGAGTATGAGTTACACAGCAGAAGAACAGAGATGTTTTTTGTTGTTGTCTGAGGCAGTGATGGATCCTGGCGGTTGGAGGTGTCACTTTATCCACCACCAGGTGCAATGGTGGACCCTGGGGGTGGCCTAGACCCCCATAGATTAGTCTTTGGCCACGCCAGTCATTTAAGGAAACTATACTTTTAAGCAACATAAAAACTAGAAAGCATAGTTTCCTCAAATGATCTTTGACAGGAACCTACTTTACGCCTAGATGCAACCACACACCTAAAAAGATGTTGGGTCGTGGCTTCTGTTCTGGCTATAATTTACACAAATAAATGAACATCTGGGCAGATTTTCCTCTAATGAATATGTCTGTAGGTTCCTGAGATGTATTAAATTGAGGCTCAGTAAAATGGGCCTGTCAAAGATATTAAACATCTGTTAAATCGAGCGGCCATCTCTGAGTCTGCTAAAACGACTTAGCTGTGGTGGCCATCTTGAATAGGGTTGAGATCATCAGGTGATCAGGTGTAGATGTACAGCCAGTGATTACTTTCTAGAGTTACACTAAAAGACCTGTGGTTCTGGAGACTTTAACAACAATAACAATATTACTTTGGTGGCGGGTGATAACTCAGGACTGAGCAAAAACCACAGTGCAATATTTATTACATATCAATTTAGGTACCTGTGTGCAAATATATGACAAAGTTTTAAAAACTGCAGAAAACACTTTTATAAAAAACAAAGATACATTTCCACAATAAAAGCACATTAGGGTCCAAGAAAGTCTGAAGTTTCAACAACAGGTTAAGCTCCCATGTTAATCTAGTGGGCAATAAAACGGTAAAAAGTAATACTTTGTCGCACCAAAATCTGTGACACCCCATTTTATCAGCCAACACATAAATTGAGTTAGATCTGAACAGTCTACAGTGGAGATTTGATGCTTAGCTTTGCCTGCTACAAGCTAACTAGCCTGTTAGCTTTTAGCTTAACTCGGCTGAATAATTTGACAATTTTAACGAGTTAATGGAGTTTATGTTCAGCTGATATATTTTCAAATATATACATATGCTTATATATTGTGGGAAAACCAAAAAAAAAGTAAATACAGTCAGTTCTGGGAGTTTCTGAGGCTAACGTGATGCTAACAGGGTGTGTGTGTCATTCATTCGGTGGGAAATGCGTCTTCGTTAGCACGAATCGTTTTAATAAGACGTGAGGATCTGAGGGGAGCAGAAAAACGCAGGAAGGATCTCTGATCTCTGTCGACACAGATCTGGCCTCAACTCTTTCCCGACAGGGCGATCTTGGCTTCCTTCCTTCTGTCGACGTTTACGATGAACCCAGTTAGCGCATACTCACATGCCAGATAGCGAAAAAGATGAGCGCCGCCGTGAGCAGCAGAGCGAGCATGTAACAGAAGGCCGCGAACGTGAACGCCATTTTTCCAACAGGTTTTTCTGGTCAGTGTCGGTTGGTCGGTACGATGGAGGCAGATTACCACCGTATTCCCGTTAGCTTTAGCTCTTCTTCTTCCTCCTCTTGTTGGAGGAGGTGGCGTGCTGAGCATGCGCGTTGCTGCCACCTGGTGGCGGCTGTGTGTCCTACAGCCGTTCAAACCAGGGTTGCCAGAAAAGAAATCACGAACAATCGTACTTTGACCAGATGTGTGTGCGGAGTTTTGTTTTTAAGGGAAGTGGTGAGTGCATATTTAAACTTTAAAAAAAAAAAAAATAATAATCTTATGTTGCATAATCCTCAGAACAATCATAAAAATGTGATAATACTATTGTGATCCTTTTTTTTCCCTGTACATTTTCCGGCATATTTTTCTTTCCACAGTTTTGGTGCTAATTCAACAAATCATTTAAACACGTTAAGCTCATTGAAGAAAACGGTGCTATGACTTTTGGTCTTGGTACAACTTTAGCTTTTTGAAGCATTTAGCCTTTTCTGAAATTTTTTTCCTTATAGAAAATTATTGTAGCTCATTTTACATCCTTCAAATCTTTAGATCCGTTTACAAACTTTTACTTTGTATTACTGAACGTTTTTTGAACAACCTTTTTCTCTCCTTTCACATTTTGTTCTGCTTCAGCTTCCTTGTGCAAATTTAAACTTTTTTCAGCTGCTTCCAGCTGTTTTTTCAGTTGTTTTGTGCTCCTTTCATTTTATTTATGCAAGTTTCAAACTCTTCTGCTATTTCAACTACATAACTGTTTTTTTTTAATAATTTAAGATAATAATTTAATTTAATTCCACATTTGTTGCACTCAATTCAACTTATTTCAGCAAAAATGTGCTCTCTACATTTCTTGTAATTTAAACTTCTGTTTTTAGCTACTTTTCAGTTGTTTTTGCTAATTTCAGCTTTTTTTCTGATAATTTCATTTTGTGCTTATTTCTGCTTCTTCTTATTTCTGTTTCAATATAATTTTGGTAAGCAGCTGAAACTGCTACAGAAATATCAGAATAATCAAAGAAAACATTCATTTAATGTTTCAGTTTAAAGAAACAATCTTTGAAGGCGGAGGAGTTCACATCACTGCATTTATTTAGACAACAGGACGGACACTTTTATACAAACAGGCCACGTTTCACTGCGAGACAGCCGGCTGTAGAAGCTTCTGTTGTTTTTAGTAAAAAGACAGCGAGGACACTTCTACACGAATATAAACACCACAGGACAGAAGCACACGTACGGCTCCAAACCCAGACACGTGAACGGTAGCTGCGTTTAATCGCACGTAGAAAACCACAATCAGTGATTTCTTTATAGAAACTGTTCAGACTCTCACCTGGGACCTGCACCGTGGAGCAGGTTCAACGAACCGAGACGAACTTTAGACCTAAATAACCTTGAAGATAAAGACGTGGTGCCGCTGAAGGTGGAAGGGTTCAGATTCTGGACATGAGGGCATAAAAAAAATAAATGAGAGAAATCTGGACTAAAAAACAAGGATTCAAACTGAACGACTGCATAAATAATAAGTGAACAAGTCTGCAGTTACTGAGAAAACTCTTCCACCTTATTCATTCAGATGTTAAATGTTTTAAATAAATGTCTTATAAAATGTTTGTTATTTATTATTGAATGCTGTAAACACGAATGTACAACTCCAACTCCAAAATGTTGGAACATTGTAAAATTAAAAAAAGTAAACACGCAGCATGCACAGGCTTGGAAAAAAAAAATTAAACTCATATTTTACTTTTACTCTCAGAAGTAAAGATGGTAGCGGTTCAAGAGCCTGCTTTGCTGATGGTATGGGGGTGCATTAGTGGCTCTAGCAGGGGCAGCTGACACATCCTGAAAGGCTCCATCAATGCAGAAAAGTATCTAAACATCTGCTCTCATTCACGTTTGTTTGTTTTTAATCAGGGAAAGCTTTGCATATTTCAGCAAGACGGTGGCTTCACAGCAGAATCAGCTGAAACATCTGCTCCATCACGGTTGAAGTAAACTCCTCCAAATTACATTATTTTCCCTACAAACGGCACCAATTCTGTTTAAACTTGACATGCTGGAAATAAAACGGAGATCTGCAGATTATTCACTTGGATTGCGTTCACGTTTTTATACAACGTTCAGACCTTCTGGAGTGGAGCTTGTGACGCTCACTGATGAAACTCTGGTGGAGTAAATCTTCTGAGCTCGTACTCGTTCACTGAATTAGTTTTGGACCAGACTAAAAATGAGATTCCATAAAGACGCAGACCAGTTGAAGGTCAAATAAAACCGCTGATCTTATCACAGTTGGTGCTCTTCTCTCATCTTGAAACCTCCGGTGTAAATTATTGGAGACTGCCTGAAGGCAGCACCTATTATTATCCACCTGACAAGGGTTTCTTAACTTTATATCTTACTCTTTCGTCAACTCGAACTGCAACGTGCATCCCCACAAATGTTGTGTCAAAACGACCGGCTCAGCACCATGATGTGTGCCATTACTTTTTCTGGCATTTCGAGTTACCATGGCGACATAAATTGCAAAGATGTAATTTTTATTAGTCATTTTTCACAGCCTCTGGCTGCAAATCAAATATCCAAGCTGGCTGCCTGAGCTAAAAAGAAAAAATACTGTAAACCAGTCATTTGTAGAGATATTAAGCTGAAATTTGGTGTAGCAGTAGCTGAGGGCAATGCCCAATAAATAATAAATTTAAAAAATTCAAGATGGTCGCCAAAGCTAAATTTAAATGGATTTAGCTCAGCTATTTTTACAGAGTTGAAAGTTGGTGTGGTTATAACTGAAAACCTCCCCCGTCGCATATTGAATCCAAATAAAAAATTCAAGATGGCCACCATAGCTTAAAAGAAAAAATGACTTTAACTTGATTTTTTTGTTTGTTGCCATATTGAGCTGAAATTTGGTGTGGTGGTAGCTGAGCGCGAACCCCAACAATTAGTGCTGTCAACTCAATAACTAAGAATGTCTGCGACGTGGCAGTCCCCGTCAGTTTCTCCAGGAACTTTCCAGTTGGTGATTAATGCTGACTGAAAGGACGGACTGACGTCAGGAGCTCCCTCCTGGATGGTTTCTGCGGAGCGACTGTCCAGATGACCTGACTGAGAATTATTGAATTTGATACCTGGATGATTGAGCATGAACTTTGTCGCCTCAGGCGTGGAAGTCTGGTTTCAGTCTCGACTCGTTCGTCCTGCCGTGGAAATGTGACGAGGCCGATCGTTCTAAAGTTCAGCGGGGCGGCTCTGAAAGGACGCTGAGCTCCTGGATGAGAATAAACTGAATAAAGTTACACAATGTGGTCGACCGTTTGTCGTGTCGGTACGTCTCAAGATTCCAAACAGAAATTATTTCAAACGTCGGACGAGCCGGTTCTGGACTTCATGCATGTTAAGGTTCTGACGCTTTGGGTCCGGTGAGAGTCTGACCGAGCACCTGACACCTCCCTCCACAATCAGCTGCTAGTTCTGGGTCTGTTCAGAGCTGGGTTTGGGTCAACGTTTGGACATTTTGGTACATAAACTTTAAAGTATTTCATTTAGATTTTAGAGCTAAACTGTGAAGTGGAATGGCAGCAATACAAGGTTTTTAACAGCATCATGAAGACCAAGGAACACACCAGACAGGTCAGGAATATAGCCCACCTTCCAGCAGGACATCCACCCAGATCTACAACGGAATGGGTCAGAACTAACTGTTCATGTGTTGGAACGGTCCAGTCAAAGTCCAGACCTGAATCCAGTAGAATCTGTGGAGAACCTTGAAAGCTGCAGATCAGACGCTCTGCATCCAACCTGCATCCAACCCGACTGAGCTGCAGCTGCTTTACACAGAAGAATGGGACAAAACACAAGTCTCCAGATGTGGACAGCTGCTGGAGACAAACCTTAAAGACTTGTATCGCAGAAGTCTGAATAAATTATTTTTGAAGTTTGTGGTTGGAACTGGACAAAATGTGGAGACGTTCCAGAGAAATGAACATTTTCATCAAAGAGTTTCAATTTGTGCTTAACGAGGCGATAAATTTGGCAAATCGAGACAAACTGAGGTGAAGTGCAGCAAAGAGAGTTCTTCACTCTGAAGGTTCTGATGACCACAGAGCGATCAAAACGTCGTTTCGCGAGAGAAACCACACAACATTCATCGACACTAGAACAGTACGAAACGATTCCTACAAACCCGCGCAGAGCGAGCGGCGCCGCAGGTTAAAAAAGACGGAGGCGACGGCGGCCCGTGGGTCACCGTCTCTCCACAGCGACTGCGAGTAGAAAGGTTGGATTTTGGAATGTTTTTGTGATTTTATTGTTCCCCAGAAAGTTATCAGTGTGTAACAAACAGCTTCAGTTATAAGACATGATTCACATCGTTTCCTCTAAAAAAAACAAAACAAAAAAAAATCAAACCCATGGTCCAGAAGGATCCGCTTTAAAAAGTATCAAGTACAACAGATCAGATCTGTGAAGCCCCAAACGTCCCTAATAATTCAGAAGTACCTCGATTCCTCTCAGAGTTAGAAGAGTCGTCAGTGAGGTCCGTTCATGCTCATTTTAAACACGTTTGTTCATTTCAAACGTCGTCAAACTGTAAGTACGACTCGTGTGCTTTACGCTGGATGTTACGCAGCGCCTCCTCTAGAGGGCGGTGCCGAGTCACATCTGAGCTCCGACGTCACTTTCAGACGATAACGCACATTTGGAGAAAGAGGCAGCGCACTCATCGCACCACGTGGACAGAGTCCTCCGTGGTTCTCGTGTGAGACGTACATGTTTTTTTTGTTCTTACTCCTGCACCACACTGACCCCACAGGCCCCGTTGAGGCGGCGGGTTTGGGTTTCATGTCGGACAGCGAACTGAAGTGTGCACAACGTGAATGCAGAGGACGGATGTTCAACGCTGAGCATGAACGGGCCTCGAGACCTGGAGCTGTGTGAACACGTTCTGCTGCGCTCCCACCTGACGGGCGTGTTGGACGTTAAGATGTTCTCTGTCGGGCTGACACTGCGCTTCATGCAGGAGAGAATCCTCTCACGGTTCACTAACCTTAAATTTAAATGTCCTTCAGGAAGTCCTGAAGGACTAAAGCAGACCTCAGTAGTGTTCTCCGCGTTGTAGCTAGAATAGTTCTTAAGTTCTGATAGGAAACAGAAACTTCATACATTAATCTAATGTACAGACACAAAACCAAAAACATCTAAAGTTAAGAAAAACAAAAGTAATCAAAAAGGTAAAAGTGGTTAAAGTAAGGAGGTTCTGAGTTGTTAAAAAAGTTGTGTAAACATTTTAAAAGAGAACAGAAACAACTAAATTCATGAATCACTGGCACGTGAAGAGGATGACGTGAAGCAGACCTGCCTCAAACAGGGTGTGCACACCTTCAGGCAACTCACTGGGCCTGGTTCAGATGGTTCAAATGGTTCAGTTGGGTCTGTTTGGTTCAACTGGTCAGATGTTCAGTTTGGTCTGTTTGGTTCAGTTGGTTCAAATGGTTCAGTTGGTTCCAATGGTTCAGTTTGGTTCAAATTGTTCAGTTGGGTCTGTTTGGTTCAACTGGTCAGATGTTCAGTTTGGTCTGTTTGGTTCAGATAGTTCAGTTTGGTCTGTTTGGTTCAGATAGTTCAGTTGGTTCAGTTGGTCTTGTGAGTTCGGATGGTCCAAATGGTTCAGTTGGGTCCGTTTGGTTCAGATGGTTCCGGTGGTCCCGTGAGTTCAGATGGTCCAAATGGTTCAGTTGGGTTTGTTTGGTTCAATTGGTCAGAAGGTTCAATTGGGTCTGTAGATGGTTCAGTTGGGTCTGCAGTTGGGTCTGTTTGGTTCAACTGGTCAGATGTTCAGTTGGGTCTGTTTGGTTCAACTGGTCAGATGTTCAGTTGGGTCTGTTTGGTCCTGGTGGTTCAGATGGTTCAGTTGGGTTTGTTTGGTCCGGGTGGTGAAGTGGTCGTTGACAGTCAGACTGTTTGAACCTTCTGGTACACTGAACGGTAACATTTTGGGTTTTAATTTGCAAAGACTGTTTGAAGCAGGTCTGCACGGGGGGTGGGGGGTGGAGACCAGAATGATTTGCGTTTGTGCAGTCTGGATCCTCCTCGCCCCCCCCACCCCGGGGGGGGGGGGGGGGGGGGGGTAACTTTAACGGAAGAATCCAAGTTTCTCTTTGAGCCATTCTTCTGTTAAATCCTCCGTGTTTCGGATCTCAAACACCTGGTGAAAATACACAAAGTAAATATATTTGGTGGTAAAATGCTGCAGTTTAACTCTCCTACAAACAACCCACCCCCCCCCAGTAAACAAGCCACCTTCATATTTCATAAAACAAACAAGAACATCTTTGATCCCATTTTGATGCTTTGAAAGTTTTAGTTTTTCACTCACCTTGGTCAGTTCAGCTGTTTGCACCAGCTTGTTCTTGCTGCCTGCATACATCATCTGCTGCTCCGGTCTGCAGCCTGTACGCACAAGCACACCGTCAGGTGCACCGACAGGTACACGGGTGCACCGACAGGTACACAGTTACACCGACAGGTACACAGTTACAGGTACACAGTTACACCAACAGGTACACAGTTACAGGTACACAGGTGCACCGACAGGTGCACAGACAAGTACACAGGTGCACCGACAGGTACACAGTTACAGGTACACAGTTACACCGACAGGTGCACAGACAGGTACACAGGTGCACCGACAGGTACACAGTTACACCGACAGGTACACAGTTACACCGACAGGTGCACCGACAAGTACACAGGTGCACCGACAGGTACTCAGTTACACCGACAGGTGCACTGACAGGTTCTCAGTTACACCGACAGGTGCACCGACAGGTACACAGTTACACCGACAGGTACACAGTTACACCGACAGGTGCACCGACAAGTACACAGGTGCACCGACAGGTACTCAGTTACACCGACAGGTGCACTGACAGGTTCTCAGTTACACCGACAGGTGCACCGACAGGTACACAGTTACACAGACAGGTACACCGACAAGTACACAGTTACACCGACAGGTACACAGTTACACCGACAAGTGCACTGACAGGTGCACCGACAGGTACACAGTTACAGGTACACAGGTACAGGTACACAGACAGGTATTTGAGGCGTCTGAAATACTTGTCCTGAGCAGAAAGTCTTACCCAGTGGACTTGAGAAGATGAAGCAGAGCGGATACGACACACGTCCGTCATCGTGTTCGTACTTATAACTGTAGACAAGAAACGTTTTTTATGTTAAGGGAAGTTTCGTAGATTTTCATTTTAAGACTCTTAAAATTTGGGGTGTAAAATAAAAAATGTTTGAAACTAAAATCCACGTTTTTCAACTGCCAACATATTTCAGAAAATAATGGAGCATTATGTAAAAATAAAAAAATAACTTTAGACTTTATTCACAATGAAGCATATAAAACATTTAATGTTTAAACTAAGAATTATCATTTGTTAAAATAAGGTAATTGTGAGTTTGATGGCAGCAACACATCTCTTTACAGATGTTCCAGGTCCACGTTACCTCTGAGAAACATTTTACAATCGAAGCGAAACGTCTTCTGTTACAAATAAAGTCCAGTTGTTTTTGTCTTGAACTTTATTTTAACTCCGAGAAACATCTCAATTTCTTTAACAAGTCTGTAACATGCAGGACCTGAGGAGACCAGTTGTTGGAGGTTTTAGAGGAAATGTTGTCCCATTGTGGTCTGGAGGATTCCAGCTGTTCTACAGTCCTGGGTCCTCTCTGCTGGGTCTTCATGATGAATCAAATGTTTTCAGTGTGTGAGCGGTCTGGACTTCAGGCAGGTCAGTTCAACATCTGGACTCTTCTTCCACAAAGCCACGCTGCCGTCATGATGCAGTTTGTTTTAAATTTGTCTGGATGGAAGCAGATGTGCTAAAACTGGTACATGTTTTCTTCGTGATGGAGTCTTTCCAGATGTGTAAGCTGCCCATGTTGGAGGCACTAATGCACCTGAACACTCACTACGATCTGGAGATGATGGAGATTCAAAGTCTAAACTTTATATATTGAAGAACTTTTCCCCACAGACTGGTGAACATCTGTCCATCTTTACTTCTTACTGACCTGAAGATAATTAACCTAAATGTTCCTCCTGCTGTCTCTTATTCATACCGTTTCCTTTTATAGTCTTTTGTTGCTCCGGTTTTATTTATTTTTTATTCGTTGATGCAAATTCTAAGTCACCTTTTTCCCCTAAAGGCTTTAACATTATGTTAACTAGGTTTCATTGTAAATAAAATATAAATGGTAAATGGACCGTACTTGTATTTTGCCTTTCTATCTTATCCAGATACTCAAAGTGCTTTACAACAATCTGTGCCTCATTTACACATTCATACAGCACTTTACTATCTCTATACAACGAATAATCAGAGCTTTATCACATTCATACACTGATGGGACACACAAGGACAACGAGGGGTTCAGTGTCTTGCCCAAGGACACTTCAGCATGTGGCTGCTGGAGGAACTGAACCCCCAACTCTCCCATTGGAGGACGACTGCTCTAACCACTCAGCCACAGCCGCCCATGATTTGCAAATCATTTCTTTTTTAATTTTATTTTACACAACGCCTCAGTCTTTTCAGAACTCAGTTTGTACATGTTGGAAAATCTGTTTACAATTCCTTGTAGATAAAATCATTAGTTCCACAGAAATGGGTCGTCCATTAAAAGGATATCTGGGCTGTCTCTCAGGAAGTTCATCTTTCAGCTCTTCAGGAGAAATATCCTGAAACAGGAACGTGATGCATTTAACAAAATTCAAAGTTGGGCAGTTAAGCGACAAAAAGCACAATTTGTTCAACAACGTTTGACACAAACATGAGCCTAAAGTTTCAAAGTTACCTCGTGTTCTTCGTCCAGGACGACCAGCTGTCGGTCTTTATCGATCTTCACTGAAGAACGAGCAGACACAGGAAAAGGAGGAACACTGGATCAGTTTGCAAGCAGTCAGAAAACAGTTTGTTGGACAAAACCAATACAATTCACATTCAGTGTGTTGGACTGGTGGAACAGGCCAAATTAACCCGGCCCAGATTAAACCTGGGTACAGTTAGGCCCAGGACAGAGTGTACCCCTCTATTTACCCATAATCTGGCCTGAAGGGTATGAATAGGCCTAGGTCAGGGGTGCCCAGACTTTTTCAGCATGGTGCTCCTTTTACAATGACCAAGTCAAAGTGATCTACCTGCTATAAGGCCTCGTTTACACGAGAACAACCTCTGGAAACTTTAGTGTTTTTTTCAACATTTATTGGGGGTTGTAAACAAAAAATGAGCAGGTTTACATGAAAACGCTGTCGTTTCCATGTCAGTCGGGTTGCCAGATAAGAAATTATGAACCATAGTACTGTGGTTTTAAAATTATAGTATTTTGACCTAAACTGTCATATGTGCTGAGTAAAGATATGCTAAAATGAGGTGTGTGTTGGGTTTGTTGAACATGTGCACAGAAAAGGAGGGGGTAAATAAGACGTTTTACATTTATCTGGCAACCCTCATTGTGCATGCAGCATGTGCATGATCACAGTTAGTCAAACTGGTGAACACACTAATGTCTCTTTGGATCCAGGATTTTATTAGTTTTGCTCCTACATGCAGAAAAAGGCTGAGCACAAAAACACCCTGCTCTCTGCCATTTATCATAACTGTTATATTTATTATAACTGTTATTTATTTTAACTGTTATTTATTATAAGTGTTGTTATATTTATTATAACTGTTATTTATTATAACTGTTGTTATATTTATTATAACTGTTATTTATTTTAATTGTTATTTATTATAAGTGTTGTTATATTTATTATAACTGTTATTTATTTTAACTGTTATTTATTATAAGTGTTGTTATATTTATTATAACTGTTATTTATTATAA